TAATGACCAAAAGTATCTCCTTTTGTTTCTTGATCAATGTAAGCTCGCACAAGAATGGAGCCACCACTTGTCAGATATGGTAGTCGTAGAGGGCGTGCCGTTTGTATAGGAATATCTACACTCGGCAAGATACTGTCTGATAACGATGACATTAATGTTGTCCGTGTCGCTGCTGATGAACCAAAATCGGATAGTGGCGGTGAACTGTAAAAAAATGATTCTTCAGGAGAAAAGCTTTGCATCGGTAACCATGAACTTTCATTGATATATTGTCGTCGATAATCTTTCATGGACATATCTGCAATTTCTATGCCGTTTATCGCTGAATCATGCTCATATTGACTCCGGTATTGTTGACCCAAATCCTCTTCACGACGCCAAAATCTTCGTCGGAGTGTTTTACTGATGAAATAAAAAGATTTTAGTGTTGAACGGCAAGGCAAACACATTTATTTACATACCAGAAAGGTATTGGACAACATCTAAGACAAAGACAGAGAGACAAGATACCAAGAAGCAGTAATAGTGGAATACCAAGACCTAATCCCAGTCCCAGTACTAGTTCTAGACTAGAGCTCGACTGATCACTGGATCCAGTTGTAACCATCGAGGTTGTGGTTGTAGAAGTAGCCGTAGAAGTCGTAACTGAGCTGGTTGTAGTAGTTGTGGATATAGAAGTGGTTCTATTCCAGCACATGCATCAAACATTCGATAAACAAATCGATCAATGAAAACTCACGAAGTACTTGTTGTTGTAGTTGTTGTTCTAGACACATCAGAATGATCGAAGAAAGAAAAAGTCATTTTAGTTGAATAACTCACACTGTGCTGGTTGTAGTGGTTGTTATCGAGCTAGAATAGAGAGATGAATCAACCAACACAACAATGAGCAATGAGAGCATTACGTAGTAGTGATCGAGGTAGTAGTTGTCGTTGATCTGAATAGCCACATGTCTATTAGAATAAGAAAAGTAAATGTAAAACTCACGTTGTTGAAGTAGTACTAGTCGTTGATCTAAACATATAACATCGGTTATTCTTTTCTCAAATGACAAGAACATAAACACACATACGTTGATGTGGTTGATGCTGATGTTATTGAAGTAGTACTAGTCGTTGATCTAAACATATAACATCTGTTATTCTTTTCTCAAATGACAAGAACATAAACACACGTACATCGATGTGGTTGATGCTGATGTTGTTGAAGTGCTAAAAAGAATAATTATGATAAACATTCTAACAAAGTTTTACTCATGTATCTCCATTAGGTATGCATCAGTCTCAGTTCCGATTGGTGCACTGGGTACCAAATGCTTTGGAAACCCAATCGGATCGGACTGGTGCCTATCTAATCTTCATCACCTAGTAGCAGATGTTGTAGTGCTTGCTGTTGTCCTAAAAACAAAATATCAATGTACTAAACATAGAATGAACGATCTTAAGATACTGACGTTGTGGTAGTAGTGGTGCAGATATCAGAAGGACAAGCACAAAGAGCATTTTGTGACACATAGAACTTGAAACAATATTGGGCAGATTGTGCATTTTGACTAAATAAGAAACTGTTTAGAAACGGTGCCACTCAAGTCCTGCTTGATCCATTAGTGACATCACTGTGAAAAAAACCTATTTGCTTATTCAAGCTGATTCTTTTCCAGACTCTCGATCAAAGCTTCGACTTTCGACCATAATAGTCTGGCGTGAAGTTTTTTCATTCGATCTTCTGGTAAATACGGTAGAGAATATGTCGAAAAACTATTGATTTCCTGCGTAACTAAGAGGAAGTAAAAATGGCAAAATTTTCTTTCTATCAGAATTTCTCACAAAACGGTAAAAAAATCCTGAAGAAAATGTTTTGAATTAGCCAGAATGGCTGAAACTTGCGGGTGAAAATTTCACTACTTCTTCGCTAACCGATAACCGATAACCGTGATCTGGTGATCTGAAGTCTTGAGTTGATCGTCTATGTGGTTATAGAAGATAGTGAAAGAATGGTCCTAATTAAATCTGAAACTATCTCTCCTTCGTATTATCATTAGTCACTTTTTCCGAACTCCTCCTTCCTCTATCTTCTAACGTGTGGTGCCATTTTCGAACAACCATCTAATCGAATTCTGACAAATTTCTCGATCTATCATTCACACTAGGATACCTATTGAAAGCCATAGCACACATGACTTGAAAGCCGAGTTGAGAAGTGGTCGGTGTCCATGAAAGAGTCTTGTAGTAGGTTGTTGTATTTAATTTAACGATGTTTCCTTTGGCTATGCCAGCAAATGAGAGTGTTGCAATATCGGCAATCGTCACACCTGAACCACAGTTATTAATTGCTATAAGCTGTGAATTGAATGTTTGACCGACTTTCACTGGAATACACGCTTCTTCAACTGGTATTCCGACAATTTCAGGTGGAATGGTACATGCTGGTGAATTAACCACTTGAACAAGAAACTGAACAGGCACTGAACTTAGAGGAGTGGTGCTGGATGAATTGATAAAATCTTCGACCTAGACATGAGAAATAATCGAATTATGGAGAAGATGAGGAAAGACATGACTAACCATCAGAGTAATAGCGAACCACTCCCCAACGGTCTGACCTATGATTATAATAGTACAGTTCGGATAGATGACTGTATTAGGTGGTAATGAGCTAGGCGGACAAACGTCTCCACATTCATCAATTCCATTCGATGATGTCGACCATCGACAACGAGTGGTGTCTCCATCAGCATCGGCCACAGGCACATTGATAGCTATTGACTGATTGGAAGGAATGTTGATGGGAGACATAAGAGTAGCAACAGGAGCATTGTTATAGAGACCATTGTCAGATCTTGGTGTTAGGTTAATACGTGACGAAACAGACCAATCTGCCGTAGAAGCTGATGCTAAAGGTCGCCAGGCCCTGTCCTGATATGCAACGGCAAAATCACTACCTGTTTGTAAATTGACGGTATCAGAACGTTGCCCAACAGTGATTCCAGCCGAAGCCGAGATGTCTATGCATCGAGGTCTGATGTTAGGAGCCACGTAACCAGTCGCACCACCAGGAAAAATAGTGATACTATCAAGTGTAGCCGTCGAAAGCGTTGTATATGAACCAATAGGAATCAATTGATTACTAGCAATTTGAGCAGTGGTGCATGTTATCAATGAATATGTCCATGAATAAGTTTGTGTGATGACGACGGCAACAGGTGTTCCAGTAGCAGATTCGTTCAAGAGACGCCATGTGATCGTTCCACCGAGAAAATGATTCGCGTCAATAATCCATACCAAACCATAAAGCAAGATGAAAAGAAATATAGAATTCATTGTCAATCAAGCCGTCATCGAACTGATAGTAAGAAAACGAAATACAACGTCAGAGAACTAATCAATTGTTCGTCAAATGTACACTAGATGCATTTCTTCGTTTTGATTCATTTAAATAAAAAAGAAAAAGAAGCCTGATTGTGTTTTCATTGTACATAATGAATCGAAATTTTCAGGTATTATTTCGTATTCATAAAAAATTGCATTCTTTGGGCATCATCAACATTTGTTCAAGTATCAACATGTTCTTTTTTATGTGGGACGCTGAATTAAAAAAGATGGTAAGAGAAAGATTCAAAAAAATAGAAACTCATGAAATAGAAGGCGTTCCCTTGTTTTGCAGTGTTTTGAAAAAGTGTTTGTTCATATATCGTTTCAAATGCGTCTCTTTTTTACGAAGTGATACAAATATGACAAATGTATTCAGCAAACGTCGATTAATTGTCTGATCATGAAAATAAGACTCATCGGTAATAACTACAAAGTCCAAAAAGAAAAAGAAAAACAAATCCAGAATTCGTCTTCATTTTACAATCACTGACTAACAGTAACGAGCCAACACCTAGCATAAAGAAAATGATTTTTCTTGCAACACGAATATACAACGTGCATTTTGATGAGTTCATCAAGCAAAACGAAGGGAACTTAATTAATTTTTTTTCGACTCTCCACGGATCCAAATTTCTCGTGTTTCTTTTTGCCTTCTCTAGATATTCGATTGTTTATAGATCATCAATACATGACCAAGTGTCCATACTCTACTCATTTCTATGCGCCACTGGATAGAAGAACGAAAATAGCATTGATTTTTTTTTCTCGTTGAATGGAATATGATTAATATTTATAATGAAATAATCAAGCACGGCTTATTAAAATACAATCCATGTATTTGTTCTGCTTCGCTTTGTAATAAGTAGGATGAAAATATTGAAAAGTATAAAGAGACTCTACATATTCTGGAATCACTATGGCGATTGTTATTTATTTTTTTGATTTGTTGTAGTCTGCTGACATAGTGCAGCAGTAAAGACGGAGGTGTTGTGTACTTCTAGGAGGAAAGATTTTACCTGCTGATTATTTAAAAGTGAGATATAGGATCAACCAGCGATATCGTCTTTAGATGTTTCCTATTTTACGTATATCTTCTATAATATATTACATATTTATGATTTAACGAGAAAAAAATATCATCAACACAATAGTTCTTATGTGACAACATAAATGAATTTCCAGAAAATCCATAAAAGACATTATACGAACAGAATGAAATAGTATTAATGAGAATTTTCATTTGAAAACAAAGATTTTTTTTTCCTTCAATTGAAGAATCGAAATTGAACTAGTCTGCGAGAAAATCCGTTCTTTCGATAGAAATCTTCAAGAGGAATTTGATATCCGAGCGAGATCTGGATGCGGGTATGGCCGCACTCCCATTCTTCAACAACACTCACCTACACCCTGTGTGTCTGTTAAGTCAATCAGAGACAAATAAATATCTCCGATCGGCAAGCGCAATGAAAAAAAAACATTTTGAGAGTAGGAAATATCATCACAGCTTCATTTGAAAACGACGTTGCAAAAAGTCAAACGGAAATGAGAACTTTCACTGGAACTGTAAACTAAAAAATACATCATAGAGAATAAAGAAAGATATTCTAGATATGTCTCTATGGATTTATCAACAATATTTTGCTTTCTTAGAAATATGATATTCGATAGGAATAGAAATTCAAGCTTTTTTTTTTAATTACAAATTGTAAAGAATTTAACTCGATTTCGCTATCTTAGTGCTTTCCTAGAAAATAGAAAAATTAGTCAAAAATAAATCATATAGATTTAAAAAAAACAAAATTGTATCGTTAAACGTTATTTTTATCAAAACCTGACGAAAATAAATAGATGTTGCACAAAATTTTTCATCAAAAGATTATTAGAAAAAAGAAATGTGAATGAACGATATGAGCAATACTACAACTACCATAAAATACATCTATGGAATTCAATTAACGAAGTAATAAACTCTAACGGAAAACAACTATTGAAGAAAACATTTCGATAAAAACAGATTGTCTCAAAATGCAATAGTTGATTTTAAATTTAGGAAAATTACATGAGAAACAACATAATTTAGAAAAAAATGAAGAAAAAACTAACAATATTTGCTTTATTTACGGAAAAAAGTATTCATTTTAAGATTTTTCTTTTTTCAGAAAAGAGTGATTGAATCGTTAGATGAACGTTACTTGTTTTACAAAACATGCGCATACAGTAGTCAATATATACATGTACAACTAGTCTTCACATATATTACTGATGTCTTTTTCGACATAATATAAATTCGAGTGATGAAAAAATCGTAAACAATATATCCAATTAAATACTCGATGCGTTTATACATGCATCTAAAATCGGTAACAGATAAGGCATCTTTTATGCTTCTTACATTTTCGTATTGATGAACAGAAATGAAATAAATTGCCTTGAAAACAAAGCCGATGATTCTATTTTCAATTATAGACATTCGTTCTTGAAGAAAAAACTTTTGATTACGATGTGTATTATGAAGAATATGATTCTCTTCGATTTGGGAATTATCAATTCATTGTCAAAATTCATACAAAACTAGTTGTTTTCTAAGTTTGACTTCATCATGATCACAAAATCCTATCGACTCTTACTGCTTGTAGAAACTATACATGTATTTAAATCAACTCAAAATTTCGAAAAAAAAAATAGACCCGATGATCATGAAATGGTCAATATGCATTTTAATTGATACTATACCATTATTCACTTGACAGGAATACATTCCAAAGAGTGGAAACGTGGTAGTAGATTTTGTCATGTCTTGATGACAATGAGAATATTTTTTGAAAAATATACTAAACGTGTGAGCTTCAACAATATTGAAATTAGTTCTACTCAACAGTCTCGTTGTATCATTATTACATAAATGATATCGACTGTTTTTGCAAACTATTCATACAATCTCAAGAATACAATTTAAGACAAACAAATATTGCCACGATAACCAGCATGCTTGATTACATTTGATTGGAGTGATTAGAACTTGTTTATATTGCATGAATTGGCGAATATGTTTCGCTTCTAGTATCTTGACTGAAAGGACGAAAATTTTGAAAGGAACTTCGAATCAAAAAGAACTGTCTAATATATGATATCGATGAATAATAAATGAAAGTGCAACAGGAACTTCTAAAATACTATTGCTCGCGAAAATTTTGACCATGAAGTGAATGTAATACTGATTTAATAACCTAGTAAATTTTATCTAATTTAATACAGTTTCTTTACAAAACCGAAAATTACAGTTCTTTTTCTAAAGTAATTCAATTTACAAGCAGGTTCACTGGATTTTTGAATGAATAATAGGCCCATGGATGTTCCATCGTATGTACATATGTTGTAACGATGTAAACATTTTCCGATGAAAAATATCTTTCCCAAAAAAAAGATATTGAATTTGCTGTTATTTCATAGATTTTGTTCATAATTTACTATATGTTACTATCAATGACTATCCTATCATAGAAATATTTCTGAATTTGATTAAAAAAATAATTTTATGTAAAAACAAAAAAAGTTGTTCATGTTCAGTTATAACGAGTATAGCGTATTACTTGAATACATTAATTCTACTTAAAAATGTATGTTAAGAAAAGCATTTGCTATATTGTTTTCTTGCATTTCTATTTCTGATTTTTATAGAAAATCAGATCTCTTGGATTACATTCCTTTTCGTTTAAGATGTTTCGAATTCTAGACAGTAAATTACTCAGATCAGCTTAATCTAATATGCAAAAAGTCAAACTATTTTATATTCAAAATAAAACAAATGAATGATGTTATTGACATAATCATAATGATAAAAAAAAATGAGAGTTGAATGCTCTCTAAATCTTGGAAACAAAAATGATTCAATTCTAGTAAAAGTAAGTATCCACGTGTTGATCAATACATAATTCCTACGTCAAACAAATCTAGCACATTTGACTTATATGTTTGGTTGATTAGCTTCGTCCAATGGTATGCTAGTTGATTACATATGATTCCATATATATATATATATTCATGTTCACCAAATATGAATATATAATTGACAAAGTCTTTTCATGTCATTTTCTCTCCGTGCAGTACTTTTTTTTCAAAGTCATATGATACATTAATATTTCTATAAAAATATCATCTTATACGAGTTTTCACAATGTTTTTTTTTCTTCCTTCAAACAAGAATAGATTATGTTTTGTTATTTCTTATCGTATACATTTATAGAAAACAACGTATAATGACGTCATGTATCATATGCTAATAACTCATGACATCAATAGCGAAGAAACAATTGAGATAGTATTTCTTTTAGAATGTACTCTTTCATTCCGTATATTTTCTTCTTGCGACAAAGTCCAAAATCTATGTTCCAAATAGTAATAGAAGTTTATTTGTAAATGTCATTTGATTCACAAAAATTTGCATAGTAACGAAATTTTACAATGTCGGACTTTAGCAGAGTATAACTTCAATTGTTAGGGAGCTTGATGCTTCCTCTCTTAATTATTCTTGTCTCATATTTTATATTTCTTTTTTTTTGCGCTATAGATATACTTCAAACAAAATGCATAATAATAATAAAGAAACTATTTATGAAGATGCTGATAATAATTTGCAAAAACCAAATATTTATAATCAATATTCACCATATTATGAATCAATAAAACGGCAACGTTTTAAATTATTTAAAGAAATCTGTGAAAATCTTTCACGTCTTATTCAATTAGAAGAATTACAACCTGGTTTTCCACTTTGGTCATCAAAATTACAACAATTCATTTCATATTATGGTTTTTCTTTTACTAAAATTGATCATTTAAAATTAATCAATTTCTATTTATCAATTCTTTCAATTAAAAATTTAAATTATGTCAATGCAAAAATATGTTTTAATATGTTAAGTCAACTTACACGGTCCGTATTACTATCTTTTTTCTATATAATTATTAAACCAAAAAATTTAGTCCGTATAATTTTTTCTTTCTTCTAGTAAAATACGTTTGATAACAAGAAATGATCTTATTATTGATTGGAAAATATTTTATACATGGGCAAAACTTATTCTTTTCAATCATGATGAACCTTATTCACTTGTTTCTATGCCCAAGTTAATAATTTAATAATTACAAAAAAAAAAAATGTTCTTTTCATTTTTTTGTTTATTTTATTATTTAGAGATATTATAAATTCATTCTTATTTTGTGTACGTAATTGTCGTCCTTATTTTTCAGCAACAGCTACTCAAGAAATTCTTGATGAATTTCGACCATATTTGTGCCCATTCGATACAGTCTGTGGAGATGTTATGGGTTATTGGAATATGTTTTTACCTGTTCATTTACCACCGGAATTACATGATCAAGGATTTAAGTATGATAATAATGAAGATTTATTCTTTTTTTTTTAATTTGTATTTATTTTAGATTATGGTTATCGGAATTTTTGGATATTTGGGAAACTGTTTGTAATAATCCAGCATGGGAACAGGTAAATTGAATTCTTATGATTAAATATTTAGATTAACAAAATATGTTTATATTTAGAGTTTAATTAGTTTATTTTCATGTGTTGCTTGGCATAATATTGGATATATTGATTGGGAACCATGGCTTTCACCTGTGAGATTTTATGTCATTTTCGAGTTTTTTTTTGTTTTATTAATTATTTTTTCTTTATTGATTAGATTTTTACAAGAATCTTAAAAAATCTTTCACTACCAGTTGGTAATGTGAAATCAACGAAAGAAACACAAAATTATTCTGTACCAGTTGTTGCTACATGGATTGTTGCTATGATGGGAAATCAGAATTCATGTATTCAATATTTAAGAGATTTATTAAATGCAATAAAAAATTTTTATCATCCATCAAATACAGGAGATTTTCAAACAGAACTTATTAGTTTTTTGTCAATGCTTACACAAGCATTTGTTGATCGAGTTTATTTGTAAGTAAATTACATTAAAGATGCACTGAGCTCGATAACTTACAAAGCCAACTGACAAAATTTAGCATTCACTGAAGAGAGTAGCTTTCAACGTCATCAGACGACAAAAAAAAACAATTTGTCATGAACTTTTGTTTTTAAATCTTCCCATTTGACGTATATATATTCTGCTAGTTTAAAGACCATCATCAGCTTTTGATATATTTAAAACTAAACTAATCAGATTGTATCGATGATTTATACAATTCCCGCACCTATGACCGGAGATTTTTTGTCCCCTATGGAAATTAATCATAGAGTAGGAAATGAAACTGATTTTTTGCATTGCTAAGGTTCTCTGTAGTATCATATTCTGAGGTCAAAAGTCGCAGTTAAATCATAATCAATAACTTTTATAGTCGTAGGATTCCATGTTTCAAACTTAACTGAATAAGTTGCTTCATCTTCGAAAAATAAATATAAATCATAATTGGATGATGTCATTGCAATGAATTGTCCGCTCATCAATGAAGTGATATCTGAACTAGAATTAAGACTTTCATCTCTTAATGTACAATTTTAGTATTTAGCCCTTTTTGAAAACTATCCTTGTCAAATAGAGATATTCATCGCGCTGCAATCATGATAGTTTTCCAGAAAGTCCATTCCGTCAAGATGTTAAATACATCAGATTCAACACGATTTTGAGTGTACTATGGTGAACATATCTGCTGTCAAAGCAAAATCCGATACAATCCATTCGATATTTTCCTATAAAGTTAAGTAATAATTATCAGATCATTCTAGTGATTTCAATTTTTACTGAAGTAAGTTTTGTATACAAATTTTTCGAAGCCTAACGCTACTAAAGAGTGAAATCTTTTGTTTTATTGCTGTATCCATATACTTTTTTTGTGAAATATGATCTGAAAAGAGTGTTGAAGTGTAGAGTGTAAAACTTTGGACCTATCCTCCTCTCACAGATCGTTACAGACAAGGTCACGTGATCCCTCACAGACTGCGACAGATGGTATCTACAAATTATTACAGGCCTCATATATCACTAAGATCTACTATGAAACTCTAAAATACTTTGTTATTGCAGCTCTACAGGATTTTGTAAAAAATGACGAAAGAAATCTGTCCTAAAATGGATCGGATAAAGTTATCTATGAATGCATTTTAGTGAACGTACAAGTAATCCAGTTTGGTATTTTAATCCACCGAAATCACATCGACTTAGTGATGAAGATATTGATGAATTTGTTAATTGCCTTAAAGAATATGCATTTATATCTATATTCAATAAAAATCATCTTGATTTAGCAGCTGAAACATGTCAGTATCTTTCTCAACTTCGACCACAACTCATTGTTCCACCATTAGTTGAACTGTTCGTATTGGTTTTTTTTTATTACTTTTTCTTTTTTATTAATTGTTTCACTGTTTGTTAGACTTTTCTCTTCAATCGATAACATGACTGAACCGTATCGATTTACATCACTGATAACTTGTCTAACTGGTTTGACACGTCAAATAGTTCGACAAACATCTGAATTTTCTCAAGGTCAAACATTTGTTTTACCATTATTACTATCAGTTTTGCCTGGTATCGATGCAAATGATTTAAAAAAAACTGCAGTTACATTTCAATTTCTTAGTGCTATTTTAATGGTAATTACATGTGTCGATTGTTCATCTGCAGTTAATACAAGAAATGATCTTAGCGAAGTAAAAATATTCATATGAAATATTTAAACTAGAATTATTTAATTCTAGATTGAAAAGAAAGTTTGTTTATCAACAAATAAATTTGAAGATTTTATAAGTGAACTTTTCAATCGAATATTTCAAATGATTGATGCATTATCAACTGAAATGCCTGATACTTTAATAGTAACAATGGATTTAAAAATGGAAGATTATCAAATTGGATTAGAATTAACATCAGTTATTTCATGTATTGTTCGACAATGTAGTAAAAAAATTTTTTGCGTAGGTTAATTTTATAATGAAATATTTTAGTTTTTTTTTAAATAAATTTTTCTTATTTTAGATGGTTCGAGAAAAAATAACAAATTTTCTTGCAACATATTCTTATTCTCCTAAAATAAGTCAACTTCTTACAGGTCTTATTCAAGCTATATTAAAAGGTAATCCAGTTGAAACATTAAAATATCTTTTACCACAAACATATGAACATATTGAAAAAATTCTTAATCAATCAGATATATTAATTTTAAATGATGATAAAGGTGATCCTGAATTACTATGGTATTTGAAACTTTTCTCTGAACTTGTTTGTGCTCCTGGTGATACTTTAATTATATATAAACCAATGATTTTATCAATTTTTCATCAATGTATTCATATTATTCATAAAG